ACGTATCGACCGTATTTTAACCCGAATCACTGAAATACTGAGGCAAGCAGCTTCAAGTTACTCGACTTCCTGCTATCACTGAGACCCAGGAAGGCAGCTGTAGGTTTTCTCTAACAGCAAACACAGGAAACAGGCAGGAATATAACGCTGACGTGCAAATTTCATGTACGGAGAAAAAGCTCAGGGTCCTTTTTTAGGATGACATCACTATATCAAGGTTTGCAAGCAAACAGGCAAAGGGTATTTTTCTTACCAGCACTCGTGAAGAAAAGACAAAGACCACATGTGATGGTTTCATGCTTAATGATCTTGTCTCTCCAAAACAAGCTCCAGGCTGGGTTTGTGAGTACTAACCCTGCTCGCCTGCACAGACCTCTGGTTGATCAGGCCTGCCTCTAAGCACTTCCTGCATCTACTGCACCCTGATTCCTGCTGAAGCCGTTTAATCTAACTCTAATTAAAGACACTGGCTGTACAATCCAGCAGCAGCTTAAATCAGACGTTGCACAATATGAAAAAACAATATGACATTTCTGCACTGTGTGCTCACCTTTCCCCATTCTCCTCCTGCTGTGTAGGGCACACAGTCCATATTGCCACAGCCTCTGTTTGTAGCGGGCTTGGTTACCTGGCAGGCGTCGTCCCCCAGCCGCCTGTAGGCCCCCGTGGACAGGAGCTGCTTACAGTACACCTTCCGCACCTGAACACCATCACCACAGGTCTGGGAGCACTGGAGGGAGGAAGCAGAAGAAGAGCGAGGAGGTAGAAAGGCAGGGCATTAATCACCCTCCGTACACACACGCTCAGAAAGTGCGTACCTGCTGCCAGGGCTCGGTCTCCCAGGCTGGAGGACAGTCCACCTGGTTGCAGGGCTGCAGGATGGCAGGTCGGAAATCCGTGCACGCGTCCTCTGAAATAGTCTGAATATCTTGTTGGTCGACGGACAAAAGACGCATGCAAAACACGCTCCTGGTTTGTATGCCGACACCGCAGGACGCCGAGCAGCCCGTCCACGCCGTCACCTCCCACCTGCCGAGAGAGACGGAGCTTCAGACAGCGAAAGAGGTGAGCTCAATCCTTGAAGCAACAGAATTAATCAAAGGATTAAAAGACACCTTTGTGTCACCTTGTCAAAGTATGATCAAACACACTAGAATACACTCAGGGACTGCAAATAAAGAGACGAGAGGCTTCAGGTATGTTGGCATCTCATGTGGGGGAGATGAAAGGATTCACTTCTGAAACACTCTCACTCTGTCCAGCATCGTTTTTAGGTGACGTTAATCACGATGCAGAGCCGTGCTGC